AGCTTAAACTGGACCTCGAAGAAAGGGTAACAGTCTTGCGGAGGATGATCATACCGATCGGAGGGGGAAGATCTAATGAACGCCCAACCAAGAGGTTGGCCGATTTTTTCAGGGTTAAACGAGGGATGAGAAAGGGAAGTAGAAGATGAGCGCTTGGAAAGTTTTTTGGTCGAGGACTGTTCAGGGGGAGAATTTGAAGGGGGAGGAGCAGTTGGCTGCGGAGAAATAACCTCATCCTCCTCTGGCTCGTCTAGCGCACCAAGAGGAGGTCGACGGTTGCGGAGGGGAATGTTATCCATGGTATCCCTAGAATTTGAAGAAGCGACGCGGGTTGTGAAAACACGGGTAGGAACTGTATCGCCGGGGCGAAGGATAGAGAGGGGAACAGCTTCGAGCGCAGAGGGCAGTATTTCAACCAAATCAGAGGAGGTCTCAGAGTCTGAAAAGAAAATCAAAACAAAGACAAAAAAGAGCAATATAAAAAAGAAGCCGACGCAAGGAAGAAAGAGAGGAAAAGAAAAATTAGGGTTTTCAGAGAAGGGCAACCCAAAAGCCAGAAGAAGAATTCGGAAGGTATGGGAGTGGAAATTTCAAAAATTTTCAGAGGAGAAACAAAATCCACAACATCCAATAAGCAGACGAGAGTATTCCAAGTACAAATTCAACACAAGATACGCCAATTCGAAATGATTCAACAGACAAATCAAGGATACCCAAAATTGAAAATCCAAGAATACACAAAATAGAACTACAAAGAATACAAATTCAAGTGTGGAGAGACTTACTCATAACCGTGGATCAACGAGTGATGGAAGTTCGAAAGAACGCAGGAGAAATCGCCGACAAAGTGAGGGTTTTTTTTTGCAGAAGAGTATTTTGGGTACAGAGGAATTCGAAAGTTGCGAAGGTGGAAAAAAGTCGGAAAATTGGCTGAGGGTTGAATTTATATGTGGGAAAGCTAAAGGGGAGAGAAGATGATGGCCGTTAGATCAAAGAAAAATCGTACGGTGATGGGCATTAATTTGCACGGCACTCAAGGTAGGCACGTTATGCGAAGAGGTGTCATCATTGAAGCGCCTGACACATGCGGCAGATACGACGCGTGGCGGAAAAGCAGGCGCGGTGGAAAGGACAACTTTACTTCTGGCAATTAATGGGAAATTA